TTAGCGATAATATCGCGATAATTTTGACGATGTAAAATTGGTAAAATTTATAAAAAATATCGTGAATATCGAATATTTCAAATTCAAGCATACTTTCCCAAAAGAACGTGCCGAACGTCCAAAAAAAGGAGACAACATGTTATTGCGGACTGCTCTACACGCCTCTACTATGCGAGCTTTCATGAGTGCGGTTGCCAGATATCAATAGTTCAAATCCCAGAATCAGAGCTTCGCTGTTACAAGCATACCTTTTCTGCCCAGTGTTTTGCTTATTTTAAGCAATCTGGCAACCATGCACACGCGCTCGCTCCTCAATGCGCAAGCGCCGCCGCCGATGATCTGAAAACACCAACAAACAAGCTGGAGTTTAGCGATCTAAATGAAAGTGTCACTCAACCAGTCTGTGTTCTGTCATGAGATCTCGACTATATTGTTTTTGATCGCTGAATAAATGCACTTACTCAACCGCTGTTGTTTGAATAGAGAAACATAGGCTATGGCAATTTGGAATAACTATTAGGAATTTCACTGTTATAATATTTTTCATTTGTTTTACCAGTTTTCATAATATAGACCGAGCGAGTGCATAAGTCTTTGGTCTATCACAGTTTAATTATTTCCCCCAGTTGCACAGTGTAAATTGTGAATTGCATGCACCAAAAAAGTTGACAATGCACTTTCTGTACTTGTTTTGCACTACTTCAGTTACATATAGGCTACATGTGTTCATCTAATAAAAAGCAGTAAGTGATCACTTTAGATTTTTTTTTAACTGCTTAAATTTGAACTAAACATTTTGTATTTACTTTGTAACAATAACTTCCATCTAAATTGTTTTTGTTGTTTTTTTAATAATAAATTCATGTTTTTTATCATTTAAAAGCAAATGCACAAATGCAAATATCGAATATCGTAAAAATTGACAATATCGAGATATATATAGATATATATATATATATATATATATATATATATATATATATCGCACAGCCCTACAATTTTTACATTAACACACTTTGATTCATTGTTTTTGAAAGTCTCTTATGCTCATCAAGGTTGCATTTATATTATTTGCTTGAAAAAAAAAACTGTAAAAATAGCAATAGTAAGTACTGTTAAATATTATTACAATTTAAAAGAACTGTTTTCTATTTGAATATATTGTAAAAAGTAATTTGTTCCTGTGATCAAAGCTGAATTTTCAGCATCATTACTCCAGTCTTCAGTGTCACATGATCTTCAGAAATCATTTTCATATGCTCAAGAAACATCTCTTATTATTATCAATGTTAAAACTATTTTTTGGGGGAGCTGCAATCAAAAGAGAAGTGTTTGTTTGAAATATAAATATTTTGTAATATTATAAATGTCCTTACTGTCAATTTATAAAACGTTCTGTGTATAACCCACATTTACACATCGCCAGCTTTTAGCCTGCTAGAAGACACAGAGTCACAGTGTGCAGAGTTTAACCAATCATAACAAAGGCTGTTTATACAGAGTATTCATGAAACAGAAGTCAAATTAGCTTGTTTAATTCTAGGGGCCAGTGAGAGGCTGAAACGTGACATTGTCCTAAACCTGAAAAAAGTAAACACTAAAAACAATAGAAAGAAAGAAAGAAATTGTGTAAAACTTGATTTAATGCAAGAAACCTAGACCAATATTACACAAAAATTTAAAATAATGGTCTTTTTAAAGCCCTAGTGATGACTCTGAATAGCAAAAACCAGCCAAAGTAAACACACATCATGATAATCCGATTAGGAGACATTAGTCTCTTCAAGGACAGACTTCATTCCAAACGCAAAATAAAGCTGGATGGATTTGTGAGCCACACACAGCACATTTCTCAAACCCATATGCCCTTCAGAAACATCCACTGTGCTAATACAGGTCAGGACTGATCACACATCAGCCAAACACACAGGGGTCGAGACGAGGTCAAGATACGGCTGAGAGACTGCAGAAAGGGTGAAGCTAGGTCACAGACGGATGGGAAACTAATGGCGCTTTTCCACTGCACGGTACGGCACGGTATGGCTCGCTACGGTTCACTTTTGGGGGGTTTCCACTGGGTACAGTACCTGGTACCTGGTAGGGATGGAACGATTAAATGCCCTGACGGTTAGTATTACCGTTTAAAATTGAATTATCATCAAAACCGTGTTTGATTATCGCGATTTTGAAAACTCGCAGTAAATCCTGTCCAGCCAGCATCAGTCTGACGCAGAAGTAGCATGCAGTGTTGTTGTTGTTGTTGTTTGGAAGGCAGTGACAGTGCTCGGGAGATTTTTCAGCCATCTAAGAGGACCAAATCGGTGGTCTGGTCGTACTTTGGAGTCCTGAAGGCAATTTAATCGAGGACGGTCACCCTGTCTGCCGATCTTGCAAGAAGAAAGTCGCTGCAAAAGGGGGAAACGCATCAAATTTGCTCCTTCATCTTCGTGACCACCACCCACTGTTATATAGCGAATGCAAGGTAACTTTTACCTCAATACCAAAACTAACTGGGCAAATAATTGGACAAAAAAAATATTGATTAGAGATTAAATATTTCGGTATCTCACTTGTTTAACGCAAAGCTTCCGCGAAGAAAAGTTCTCAGCAAGTGGCTTTGAGCCAAGACGAAAGAACGTTCAAACTATAGGATTGACATTTAAGGGATAATGTATTGTATATTCATAGTTTGAATATAATAGTTTGAAATAGTTTGAAAAATCACAGATTTTTTTGTTTTTGTTTACCTAAAATAATATATAAATACAGGGATATGAAATATTTAATTGAGATTAATGTTTTGAAATTTTACCGGTTTATAAATCCATTATGAACAGTGTACAAAACAATCGTCAGGTCAATATCACTACAGCAAAATTATAGTAGTATTAATACTAAATTCCTCAAATGATAAAGCAAATATGATGCATTTCCTTCATTTTCAATACGATCAAAAACTGAGATGCAAGACGGCAAGCTGCATTTGAATGAAACGAGAGAGCACGTCCGTGCCTCTGCGGTGATACAAGAGACATGTGGCGACTTCCAAACAGAAGTGAGCATCCCTATGCCCTACGAAGGGCAGAGCCCTTGAAGTGTGTTCTTTGCGAGTTAAATATATGAGTGTCACAGCAAAGGGTCTGAATACTTAGGACCATGTGATATTTCAGTTTTTCTTTTTTAATAAATCTGCAAAAATGTCAACAATTCTGTGTTTTTCTGTCAATATGGGGTGCTGTGTGTACATTAATGAGGAAAAAAAATTAACTTAAATGATTTTAGCAAATGGCTGCAATATAACAAAGAGTGAAAAATTTAAGGGGGTCTGAATACTTTCCGTACCCACTGTATATGTGTGTGTGTGTGGCTGTACATACACATATATATAGTTGTTTTTTTGGTGTTTGGCTTAGAGTTATGTTAGAATCATTATTATACTCTTATACCTTTTGTTCTTTAATATTTTGAATAGTTTTTAGCTTTATTTTTTGTTTTTCATTTAAATGTTAAGTGTTGACATGTTGTTGTTTGCATTTGTAATTTTTATTTAATTTCTTTATTTTTAAAACATGTATAAGTAGTATTTATAAAGTTCTAGCTTTTAGATTTGGATCTGTTTTTAGTTGTTTTAATACTACAATTGATCACTTCTGTTGTCCTCGTTTGTAAGTCGCTTTGGATGAAAGCATCTGATAAATGACTAAAATAAATATATATACTTATTATATATATTAACACATTGCTAGCATAAGTAAAAATGTTGCTAGCAAGTTTTAACATATTGCCAGTACAATTTAGCATGTTGCAAGCATGGTTCTAGAATTTTATAACACATTGCTAACATGTTTCTAACATGTAGCATGCTGCTTGCATGTTTTAGCACAATGTTAACATGTACTAGCATGGTAACACAATGCTAACATGAGTTAACCTGTTGCTAGCATATTTCTAGCAATTAACACATTGACAGCATGTTTTAACACGTTGCTGACATGATTTGACATGCTGTTGGCATATTTCTAGCATTTTGTAAAATGTTCCCTGCTAAAATTTCAAAAAGAATGAATGTATTAGCTGGTCTAACAGCCTGGCCATGGTTTCCAGGCTGGTTTTAAAGGGGGTTTGACCACTTCTTCAAGCTTAAACCAGCTTAGCCTGTCTTTTTCAGCAGGGTTAATATTATTTTGTTACATCTTGTGTTGCTAGCATGTCTTCATCATGTTCCTAGCATGATTTAACAAACTGCAACCCCGTTTTAAAGGTGACATATCATGAAAATCTGACTTTTCCAGGTTTTAAGTGCTATAATCGGGTCCCCGGTGCATCTACCAAACAAGGAAACGTGAAAAAGATGAACCCAGTAACTTTGTTTTGGGAAGCCTTTTTCTGCAAGCGTCTGAGAAAACGAGCGTGTCTGATTTCGCTCCCTTGGTGACGTGGCAAAGGGATCTCACTATGATATTACTGCCCCTTTATCTGTAAGTTTACACCCACGGTGCCATTATTATGTTTTCGCAAGTGACAACGGTGTACCAGCTCTAATGCCATGGTGAAAGTCTGAGCAAAACATGCTAACTCTTCTGTGTTTGGCTGCACAGACGAGCACAGAACACTATTTAGAGTCCCAGCCTCAGAGGAGACAAGAAAAGGGGGCGGTGAGCAGCAGCTTATTTGCATTTAAAGAAACAGGACCAAAAAACAGCTTATTTCTGCTTCCACTCAAAATAGGCATCTTCAAAATGTAATAATTAATGATCTGTGGAGTATTTTGAGCTGAAACTTCACAGACACATTCTGGGGACACCTGAGACTTATATTACATGTTGTAAAAAGGGGCATAATATGTCTCCTTTAACACATTGATAACATGCTGTTAATGTTACCATGCTTGCTTAAATGTTTTAGCATGCTGCTATTATCTTTCTGTAAGTTGAAGCAGTTACAAAATATAAAGCACACCGAGTCAGAACATCCTGAAGAAGAGGAGGAGTCTGGACAGGTCAAAGGTGAAGGTTCATGTACCGTAGCGCTAGCGTGTATGTGCCCGGCTGTCTCTGGCTCTCTCGGATCAGATAACTTCCCTCAGCCACACTGAGCAGTTGGTCGGCTTCCTCTCTGGAGATCATCCCATGATACCTTCACAGGAAACCAATCGGAGAGAGAATATTAATAAGACTGCATTAGATCCTGAAACACTGGGGATTCATGTCAGTCCACACCACACCCGCAGAATCTGAACTGGGTCTGTAATGAGTGTAAAGAAACTCACTCTCGTCCATAGTACTTCGGCCGGTTCTCCACCTGCAAACACAAGAGAAAGAGAGAGAGAGAGAGAGAGAGAGAGAGCATTACTGATTAAAAACCTCTGCAATAAAATATTTCATTATTGTTCAGGAACACACACATATAGGATTACTGGAGAACATCATAGCCCACAGCATGATGAGAGATTTTATTCAGAGACTAAACTGAAGTAAAGTAATAGTATAATAAGTCAAGGATAAACAGTCAGGCAGTCACCATCACACATTAATAAACACAAAAATGAATGTTAACTGGAGAATTCTTTCAGCACAAAGTAATAGAGTGTTTCATGACGGACGGGGGGGGGGTCTACTCATCCCAGCTGCTTTGGCAGAATATGTCAAATACATCTGATATCATTTTTAATAATTTATGTCTATGGAAAAGGTGCCATGAATGGAAAAGGCTAATCCAATATTCTATGTAAATTTATGCATTTTGACAGTTTAATTGAATAACTGAATAAAGCACGGGCAAATCAAATAATGAAACTCCAGTCAAAACTTAAACTTATTCTATGAATTATATATAGACCTTTATTTGTGTTTAATGGGACAGCATGTATGATAATAGCAATAGACTATGCATTCTGCTCAGATGGCCTGTGGGTTAATAATGAAGATGTTCAAAATGTGTGTGCAGTTCATGGAATAACTTTTAAATAATACAATAATTATTAAATCAAACAATAAAAATGCCACCCAATAATAAGTATTCCAGAGAGCCTTGTAATAAATGCTGCTAATCTGGATTTTATTAAGAGTAATGTAGTATTAAAACAATTATAATGTAAGATTAATTTATGTTTAATCTAGGGATGCAGCAATACCATTTTTTTCAGAACCGATCCAATCGAGATATGAGTCCTATATCTATCATATGTTGCTGCCTCCGTTACTGTGCTATATATTAGTTTATTAAAAGCCTTTCTTGTTCGGTCCTACCCTTTTTCAAACACCGTATTTGCTTTTTTTTTTTTTTTTGGTTAATTACTGTGAAATCGATCAGGACACACTGCTTTACTTGTGATCGTAAAAACGGGACATTTCATGTAATTTTACAGTAAAATACTGTTAAATGCACGGTTTTTGGACGTGAAAAGGAACAAGACATATCACAATTTTCTGTGAGAAAAAAGCAAACTGACATTCCCTGAATTCTGTATTGCATTATTTTAGTGTGATGTGTGTTACCATGATGGTGTTTAGTATTTGTGTGAATGACACTGTGTGCTGTTTATATATTAGTATCGACCTCCAGCTTGTGCCTCTTAACCATTTAACTCTTTATGGGTTTCAGTACGCTATACAGGTAAAAACTGATTTTAGTAATTTGGTATATTAGCATTACATCAGATAATGAATTTTTTCTATGAAAATTTTTTTTTTTGTGGCATTTTATTTTTCATTATAAGCTTTTAAATACACACAGCAAAAAATACAGCACCAAAAGGACTGCACATAGACAAAATATTGACATTATAAATAACAGTGTTTTGAAAGAAGCCTTCTCTGCTCACCAAGGCTGCATTTATTTGATCAGAATACAGTAAACACACTAATATTGTGAAATATTATAACAATTTAAAACAACTTTTTTCTATTGTAATATATTTTCAAATTTATCCTATTCATGTAATCAAAGCTGAATTTTCAGCATCATTACTCCAGTCTTCAGTGTATCATTCAGAAATCATCATAATATGCTGATTTGCATATTGTAGAAAACAGTTGTTTCATATTTCACAGTGCTGCTTCATATTTTTGTGGAAACTGATACAGGATTTTTTTCTCTTTTTTCAGGATTCTTTGATGAACAGAATGTTCAAAAGAACAGCATATATTTGAAATATAAATTTCTTGTCTTTACTTTCAGTTTTAATAAATGTAATGCATACTTTCTGAATAAAAAAAACAACAAAAAAAACGTACTGATCCCCAAATTATTGTAGGTCACCAAAAAATATAAAAAAATAAAATAAAATAAAAACACAATTAACTGCATGGCATGAATTCATTAAGACTAAAGCAGGTAAACACCAGTGATCAGTTTTTAGAAGCAGCCTACAAGAGAATGAAATCGTTGCGACAGCTTTATTCAACAATTTCTTCTTTTCCGTGTCAGATTTTGACTTACAAAGCATACCCATTCTTTCCTCTGCTCATAAACAAGCCACAGTGCATCTGGATTCTACATCATGCATCGTGTTACTCTCGTGAACGCGTGTCAAAATCTCGGAAGAGAGGAAATTGTTGAATAAAGTCATTATTTTTGTTTTCTTTGCACATAAAAATAATTCTTGTAGCTTCATAACATTACAGTTGAACCACTGATGTCACATGGACTGTTTTACCGATGTCCTTGCTACCTTTCTGAGCCTTGATCGGGGTAGTTACCTTGCTGTCTATGGAGGGTCAGAAAGCTCTCGGATTTCATCAAAAATATCTTAATTTGTGTTCTAGAGCTGCACAATTACCCACACGATCTAATTTCTAAATGACAATGATTCGCCCGTGTCAATTAAACCTTTGAAAAAATCATACCGAAACATTAAAATCTGCATTCGCGCTGCCGCTGACACAGAGTGCAGACGGTTAACATGTTTAGGTAAGAAACAGCTTCACAAACAGCCTTTTCAACTACACTACACATGCCCTTAATTTAACATCATTATGGAGTAACACAAAATACACAAACATATGGTTCAAGGTTCATAAATAGTACAATTAATATGCAACATAGGCTATAGTCAATTTAAATGTAATATTAAATATTCAGTATAATATAATAAACAAGATGTGTTCTCTCAGTTGAGAGATTAAAACCCTGAAATAACTTTGAGGAAAAAAAAAAGTCAGAGATGTTGGCTTATTAGTATTATAAAAGTTAGTCATATCTGTGTCCTCTTATGTCAGGCTCTTATTTAATCAATAAATTCAATTGAATAAAAAGACATGCTGGCTATTAACAATCAAACGAAATCACTATCAACAGATGGATTGTGCATACATTTTAAATATAATATTTTAATGTAGAAATATTAAATGATTGCAAAAATGAAATGAGCTACTTTTTAAAATATGAAACTACAACCGCCAGTAGGTGGCAGCAAGTGACTGTCTTAATGAGTGAGTTGAATCAACCGATTCGTTTAAAAAGTTGATTCATTTAACTTTGCAAACATTTGCTCGCCCGTGTAACGCTGAGGAACAAAACACTGATGTTCGGAGATGCAGCGGTTCTGCGCTCTTTGGGGCTAAAGGCTTAATGGAGCGGTTTAGCCATGTGATAAACCAATCGGTTCAGACGCGATTCAAAACGTGTGTCCTTCTTCTATGTGAAATAATCATAAATGGCAGTTTATGCTGTTTGATTGTGGCCTTGACGGTCGTAGTTGTAAGCTGCCGTCCTGGCTGGCCCTTTTAGACCTTGCGTGCGCAGTGGAAACGTGGCTAATAATTTCTGAATTCTGACTGGCATATAACGAACAAATCAAACAAACATAAACGGGCAAAGGCAGGGCCCCTACAAGGCGAGGCCCATGGGCTGCAGCCCACTCAAGCCCAATGGTAAATCCGGCCATGATGGTAGCGATCAAAATAGAGTGAATCCCCTTTTGATAGTAACTGGCGCTTCAAATAGCGTTTGCGGTGATTGCATCGTTTTGCGTCTAGGTGGCGACAAGTGACAGTTCAAAAATGTATTTGTCATTGAATCATTAATTCGAGATTCGTTCAAAAATGCTGATTCATCCCGTAATGAAACAAGTGAGTTATTTATGAGTCATTGAATCATTCATTCAAACCAATTTTTCATAATTTTACTAGATGATGATGATTTACTAAAAATTGGTGTATTAAATATATTATATTTTAAATACATATATTATATATTAAAATGTTTAATAATTCATCCAAATTAAACACTTAAATACACTGCAGCAATTAATATATTGTCACACATTATTTTGTTATGTTCAGAATCATGGGACAATCGTGATTTCTATTGGACAAAAAAAAAAGTGATTCTTAATTTATCCTGAATATCTAGGTTTACACACATCGTGGTCCTCCTCTCACAGAGATGAATCTCCTTGAAGAGAGAATTACATAAGACTCTCACACACAGGAAATGAAGGTTGGGGTTTCCTTCACACATGAATACACATTCTTGAAAAATCAGAGGAAAACCCCTCATATCAAATCTAACTTCTAGCATTTCAGGTGTGTGTGTGTGTTACATTAATATTATATTATTTAAAACTCTACTATACAATACTGATTATTTTTTTCTTTTTGCACAAGTATAATTTACAGTGAAAAAATAATAAAAGAACATTTCTAGAAGTCCCTGGAATTGTAGTTTATATGCATGTTTTGTTTCTCCTCATCCTTTTTTCTTTTACCGTAGATTTAAAAGGGCATTTTTATACAGTGTACACTTTAAAACTGTTCCAGAGTAAAAGCAAATATTGTTTTAAAATTGTTGGTAAATGTTAATAACACTGTTATCTGGTTCCTAAAATCTGGGTCCTGAAGCAAAAGCACTATTTGTCATCAAGACTCTTGATAAAAAGTAAACCCAGATGCTTGAGTGAAGTGTCCAGTGAGTTGTGTGCGGTGCTGGACTCGGCTGCAGATTGTGTGTGTGTGTGTGTTTGAGAACTCTGGGCACTGATTTGCATGCTCTGAATGCTAAAAAAAAAATTGTGGGGCCTTTTGAAGGGGATTAGACAGGGTTAAACCTCTTGCCACAATAACCCTCCACCCTGCACAGGGGTGATGCGCTTTACAGGAGCAGATAAGTGGCCAGCAGCCCAGAGCAAGAAACGCTCCAGAACGAATCCTTAAGAAGCCCTTGAGATAAACATGAAGAGCAGTGTGCATCTGTTTAATGTTAATCCACCGTTAATTAATACGCCGTCCAGTCGGCTGGGGCAGGGCGAGGGGGGATGGGGCCCACGTCTGGGGGTAAAATACCTGCTGAATTGTGCTAAC